TAAAAACTTCCCGCCACATATGAATCTCATACTTCTTTTTCAGCTGTGACAGTGTTAGTCTCAGAATCTCAACCAAATCCTGTTGTTTCAATTAATGCCTTAAACTCTCTCGTGCTACGTCTAAGCCTATTCCACTTTGCTTTAAGCTGGTCTGCTGTGAAATGCTTACCAAACTTAATTGCTATTTCATTAGCAATTTTCATCCACGTTTTTCTGTCCAGAGTGGATGTTTGAATCCCAGTCTTTGACTCTTCGTATATCAGTTCTACATAAAAATCCTCAATTGTGGCCGGCCATTTCGTATTATCGTCCTTATCACACATCTAAAACAAAACTTTCATAATTAAAATAAATATCAATTTGTAAAGTATATACACACACAGACCATTAGGGGTGATGGGGGCTGATTTTCAGCCCCCATCAGCCCCAATGGGGGCTGATTATCAGCCCCCATTGGGGCGGATGGGGGCTGATTTTCAGCCCCCATCAGCCCCAATGGGGGCTGATTATCAGCCCCCATTGGGGCGGATGGGGGCTGATTTTCAGCCCCCATCAGCCCCAATGGGGGCTGATTATCAGCCCCCATTGGGGCGGATGGGGGCTGATTTTCAGCCCCCATCAGCCCCAATGGGGGCTGATTATCAGCCCCCATTGGGGCGGATGGGGGCTGATTTTCAGCCCCCATCAGCCCCAATGGGGGCTGATTATCAGCCCCCATTGGGGCGGATGGGGGCTGATTTTCAGCCCCCATCAGCCCCAATGGGGGCTGATTATCAGCCCCCATTGGGGCGGATGGGGGCTGATTTTCAGCCCCCATCAGCCCCAATGGGGGCTGATTATCAGCCCCCATTGGGGCGGATGGGGGCTGATTTTCAGCCCCCATCAGCCCCAATGGGGGCTGATTATCAGCCCCCATTGGGGCGGATGGGGGCTGATTTTCAGCCCCCATCAGCCCCAATGGGGGCTGATTATCAGCCCCCATTGGGGCGGATGGGGGCTGATTTTCAGCCCCCATCAGCCCCAATGGGGGCTGATTATCAGCCCCCATTGGGGCGGATGGGGGCTGATTTTCAGCCCCCATCAGCCCCAATGGGGGCTGATTATCAGCCCCCATTGGGGCGGATGGGGGCTGATTTTCAGCCCCCATCAGCCCCAATGGGGGCTGATTATCAGCCCCCATTGGGGCGGATGGGGGCTGATTTTCAGCCCCCATCAGCCCCAATGGGGGCTGATTATCAGCCCCCATTGGGGCGGATGGGGGCTGATTTTCAGCCCCCATCAGCCCCAATGGGGGCTGATTATCAGCCCCCATTGGGGCGGATGGGGGCTGATTTTCAGCCCCCATCAGCCCCAATGGGGGCTGATTATCAGCCCCCATTGGGGCGGATGGGGGCTGATTTTCAGCCCCCATCAGGGCTGACAATCAGCCCCCATAGGGGCTGATGGGGGCTGATTTTCAGCCCCCATCAGAGCTGAAATTCAGCCTCAATGGGGGCTGACATTGGGGCTGATTTTCAGCCCCCATTGGGGGCCTCCCTGGCCAGCCCCAAAGGGAGGCCCCCAGGGGTTGATTCAGCCCCAATGGGGGCTGATAATCAGCC